TCAAATTTAATCTACTTATTACTCACTTCTAGTCATCTGGGAAATAATTAAGGAAAATAATTGGGTGGTGTTCTCAAATACTAGGGATGGGTGAAAAAGACATTTCAAACAAAGATCTTTAGGTTTTCGGAATGCTTCCAGCTGAGTTCATGAGCGGACAGACAGAAGGTCAGAACCTCAGAGTTTTGTTCCATACGTTTTACTTGGGCTGGTTTGAGGACCACGTACTGAAGCAGACAACCCAGCAAGTCACTGAGAAAAGGGATATCGTTGCATATTCCCAACACGAGCATAAAGGTCTGTGCCGAGTGCCACTGTCACAGGGCTCCAGTGAGCTCACCCAGGCCGGCGCCAGGCACAGGGCTCTAAGGGCTGGGACAAGGGCAGTAACTAGGTTTGTGGAACGCGGCTGGTCACTCGCTCACTGGTCTATGTTTCCTTTCATTTGTTTCTGATAAAAATCTTGGAGACCGAAGTTTCTGCTCGAGATGACTTCTTTGGAATTCCAAAGGCCTCACCCGGGCTTTCTGGCTACGCTGTGACCGTTGTCTAATGGGTTACAGACACGTTTCAGTTTGGGGCTTCCCAACAGCTCAACAGAAATACACAAAACAACATATACCCCACAACAGGAATCTCACTTTGAGCAAAAGCCAGCATGTTAGGGAAAAATTAAAGATGGAAAAGACTTATCAGTCACATGTCTCATTCTATTCTCGTTTCCTCAGTGCTTAGCTCTCCAATCTTAATCCCAATTAGCCCGTGACGAGGGTGACTGCTTCTCTTAGGAAATTATTCCAGGGCCAAGGAGACTTAGCTGCTATTAATCTTTATTGTTCCATTTAATATTCCAAGTGTTTGATCTCATATAATTTATCTCAAATTTAATCTACTTATTACTCACTTCTAGTCATCTGGGAAATAATTAAGGAAAATAAGTTTATGTGACTCAGATGGTACCTGGCATAGCAGATGCACATTCAATATTAGTCTCTTACCTTTGACTATTTCTCAAGTACTGCCCGACTTTAATTGGGAAAAGACGATATATTCTCTGAACTCTTTCCTAATTACTTTCAATAAGTATACTCCAAGGCATAAAACTGAAAAACGTCTATCATAGTCTATCTGTTCTACCCTCCTGCCCCTGAAGCAATCACCCTTCCTACTCCCAGCCCCTTGCCACCCCTGGACAATTAATTTTATACTGAGTAAGGTCTGCCATGAATCTTTTTATTTTAATGATTTTAGAGAGAAGGGAAGGGAGAGGGAGAGAGAGGTAGAAACATTGATGAGAGAGACACATCGATCGGCTGCCTCCTGCACACCCCCTACTGGGGATCGAGCTCATAACCCGGGCATGTGCCCTGACCGGNCTGATGAGAGAGACACATTGATCGGCTGCCTCCTGCACACCCCCTACTGGGGATNTTGATGAGAGAGACACATCGATCGGCTGCCTCCTGCACACCCCCTACTGGGGATCGAGCTCATAACCCGGGCATGTGCCCTGACCGGGAATTGAACTGGGGACCTCTTGGTTCATGGGTTGAAGCTCAACCACTAAGCCACACCGGCCGAGCTGCCATGAATCTTCTTAATTCTATGTGGCTTCCACTCTGGATTGTGATAGCTTTATTATTTTAAATCACCTCTCAATGCTTAGGCACCGCACAGATCGGTCAGGGGGATGAACAGAAAAAGGAAACGTTACATGAAGGACACACTTTGTAGATGAACAAATAATCTAATTCGATCCCCAAAGGACAGGCGGATAAGCCTTTGTGTATTTACAAGAGCGAACATTCACAAGTCCCTTGCAAAGAAATGCGTAACCCTTGTACTTCATCAGGAATTGAAATCTTTTAACCAAGTGTGTTTTCTGTCCCAACACCCTAGAACAGAACATCCTATCCTCATTTGATCATAATTCAGTTTCAGCCCAATTCTGCGAGGCTGCACTGTGTGATTTCCCTGAGCCACACTCTCCTAGAAAAAGCAGATGGCAGCACCCAGACACACAGTCACCAGTCTCCTGGGTGTCAGCTGAACGGCCGGGACAGACATCAAACCAGTCACTGAGAACATGCTGAGACTTGCCAAAGGGGAAATGCAAGGCCGGGACCGCCCCGTGCAGCTGAGCAGGTTGTGCACAAAGACTATATATCTGAGGGGGCACCGCCCACATCTCAGATTTTGGTGATTTGTGTATTTCCCGGGACAATTTTCTGACAGATGGCACCAGAGTGTCCTGCTTGAATAAAATCAATGTATTACAACGTGCAGACAGAAATAAAGCGTCACGAGGAGGGCTGCCTTCTGCTAACTCACAAAAAGGCTCTATATGGGTGAGGGAGGGCACACAGGTGCGAAGGGAGCAGGGACCACGCCCGCTGAGCTTGGGCCAGGAGCCAGGAACCGGGGCCTGAAAAACCTGTTCGACGGCACTGGGCAAAGGAGCAGCAGCTCTGACCGGGTAAGACAGGACAGCAGGCCTGACGCACCCGCGTGAGGTGAGCCTGGGCCCCGCGGTCACGGGCACAGTGCGTGGGAAGAGGCAGACAGAGGAGGATGGGAGACAGCGCCCTTCGCCTGGACTTGAGAGCGAAACTTCCTGAAGCGTTCGAGATGTTCATTTCTTTTTTAAAAAATCTGTAAAGCGACAAAAGGCAAACAGGCCAGAAAAGTCTATGCGACCTCCACTCAACACTGCAACAGACATTACCATTTTTCTTAGTTCAAAGGGAGGTTTGATTTCCTTGCTGAGGCTCCCAAGAAATAGGAAGGAAAGTTCTAGCAAAGAAAATCGAGGACACCCTCCTGCCGCATCTGTAAACACAGCCACGAGATACGTCTGTTTTAAAAACACTTTCTCCTTCGCTTCAAATTCTCTGGAGTTCCTGTAATCTTTACAGAGAAGCTCCGGAAGGCAGGGGGTGTCCTGGGGGAAAGTCTGCATCACCGGGAGTCCCTGACCCACCCACACGCTTCACAGGAGCCTGAGGTCAGCTCCGCCGTGCTGGGGGAATACGGTTTCTGAGCCTATGCTGTTGTTCGCAAAGATTGTGAAGTCAGNCACTGTCGTTCGCAAAGATTGTGAAGTCAGAAGTGATTTGTGTGCGCGGCTGTAATTTACTTCCTTGAATAATTTTAAATGGGCAGAGAGGGAGGCTGTTAAAAACGTTCTCGAGTTGAACCATTCATTGGGGCTGAGATCACACACACACAGCGACGTGAAACGTTGGGCAAAGCCCATCGGGCAAGGCAGCGGGTCTGGAGTTTGAGGTGGGGGACTGGCCCCGGAGGACAGGCCGCCGCGAGGGAAAGGTGGGGCGCCCTAGCTTCCTGCGGTTCACGGGAGCTTCGAGCAGGTCCTGCCAAAACAAGCGGTTTCACAGGGGGCTTCACGGAGGGTCTGCAAGAAGGGTCACGGNGAGCGGTTTCACAGGCGGCTTCACGGAGGGTCTGCAAGAAGGGTCAAGGCCGGCCCTAAATTTCCGGCAACTTCCAAATTTTCACCTCGGGGCCCCAGAGGCCTGGCTAAATTTCATCCCTGTGAAACGTCTGGTCTTTACAATAAATCCAGCCCTTTGAGCTAGTAGCTCTCTTGTTCTTGCTCCCAGGAAAATGACTTCCCAGGACTGGGCGCCTCGAGACAAACGGAGGATCTGATACAGTGCGGTGCACGCAGCCCTCCCCCAGGTCACTGTCTGACTTGCCTGGGCACCTTTTTCCTTTGGCTATTTCATGGAAACTGAGCAAAAGGCAGAAAAAGAAAGACAACTAAAGATCAACTTTAAATATACAGTCGTTATGGAGAAGAAAATAACATTTTCAGAACAACTGGGGAGCTGGGGGCCTGTGGAAGTCCCAAGTTGGCCATATAACTAGATCTTTTATCTGTGATTTCTCAGATTTTGAAAATCAAACCTACAGCGTCCATGTACACAGTATGTGTACTAAATAGAAGATAAGACATACACAAATTGCTCACTTCATCAGAATGTTAAAAATGGTAAAGGGTTATATACATCGTGAGCCTATTCAGAGCATGAGGGTTTTTAACGGAATGATTTCTAGAAAACTAAGAAAGTGTCCTTTGCTAAATATTCTGTTATTGTATATCGTGAATGCATTTTAAATGTTTTAAATGATTAAGAAGGGGAAACTACTTGCAAAATGAAAGGAAATTCTCTTTGAATACATACTGTTTCAGTTTTAGCGATGCGCCCTTTAAGGCTATCTAATGCTTTTTAGGAGAAATACTAAAACTGGGGTCTGTAAGCACATGTTATGCTTGATCTAGTTGTGACCAGACAATAATCATCAACTTGTTTCTATCTCAATGAAGTTTCCAAATTCACAGACGTTTAGAAACATGCTGTTTCCATAGCAGCAAATAGAGAGTGAAACTAACAAGATCTTATTGATTTTAACGAGGTTCAGGGAACTTGCTCTTTTTCAGCAGCGATTTTTGCTTTTATTTTAGTCTTTCAGCAACATCTTCCATTCTCTTTTCTAAATGCATTTAGTAAATCATATAAATTTTAGAAGTAACAAGTATTTAATTCTTCATTTGTAAAAGGGATGCTAAACTACGGAGTCCAAGACCAGGCACCGAAGCATCTGAGCACATGTAATGCCAGTTTAACATATGAATAACATATAAATTGGATTACAAATGCTTTTAGATGACTCATTAATGATTAAAAAGTACAGTGTAACATATGCTGTTACCATTAATTTATTAAGACTCAGGCTAGGAATTAGGCTTTTTATACACAGTGTTATAGCTACAAAATGCAAGTTTGTTCATGGTTGATGGGGCGACATCACAGTGATAACTGAAGTTAGTAGTATAACTGTTCCAAGTTAACATGCTAAGAAAACAGGAAATAGGCCTTCTTTCTTTGTGCATGTGTTTTTTACGTTGTATATTTTTCACCAACTTTCTGATCTCTTAAAATTTCCATTTGTGGAAACATAGAAAAGGGGCTCACCTGTAACGGACATACAGCCTAAGGGAGCAATGAGAGTAACGGGGGCAAATCCGTAGGCCGCGAAGTTCCCCGTCTCGCCCACGGCCATCAGCAGGACGCCGCCCCACCACAGCGCGCTCCTGAAGACCGGCCGCGGCTGCTCTTGGCGGGCCAACCGCAGGTGAGAATATTTCTAGGAATAAAGCAGAATGTAAATGAGAAAATATTTCTACCCAATTAAAACTTGTTTTAAAAATATTTTGGCGCTGACAATTCCCATCACGGCTTTAAAGTGTATTGGCAGATCACCGTAGAGCAATTATTGCGGTTTTGTGTTTGTGGCAAACATACCAACAACAGCAGAAGTGACTCACATTGATATAGCATTTTGTAGCTTAAAGGGTCTTCTCACCCATTACTGTGGCTTAATTCTCATAACAACTCCATAAAATAAGTAGTAATACTATCTAAAGATGAGGTGTGTGTGATGGAGTTAAGTGACCTTCTGGTCCACTACCAAAACACTTACTATATTTTGTTTCTCATTAAACTTTGTTTTAATGGGTCTCAAAATTCTGTGACAGATTTTGGGTCAAGTTGTTTCCATTAAAAAGTACTGATTTTAAAAACTAGTATCTTAAAAACTGCCATAGACACCCCCCACACACACACAAATGGCCCACAAAACATTCTCCTTTCCTCTGAAGGTTTCACGATGCACTGTAATCATTAACCGGTCTTTTACTATTAAACTTAAATGATGAATTGAGACAAACAGTTCTGCGACCGTTCTTCCACCCGATTAAGATGGGGGTGGCAGGGATTGGGGATACTACTCATGTAGCCTTCTGAGCTTTCTGGGCAGACTGGGTGGCTTTGCCAGCTCCAGCTGCCTTTTCGCCCACCGCTTTGATGAACCCACAGCAACTGTCTGTCTGTCTCAGGTCACCAAAAGCAAAACAGCCCAGAGGAGGGTAGTCAGAGGAGCTCTCGGCACACGTGGGCCTGCCGGAAACCACATTCACAGACGCAGCAGCACCACCAGATTTCAAGAACTTAGGGCCATCTTCCAGCTTTTCCCCAGAATGACGATCAGTCGTCTTCAGCTCAGCAACTCTGCAGCGTGAGCTGTGAGACAAACCAGCACAGGGGCATGGCCAGCACTGACCTGGCCCGGATGGTTCGGACATCACCTGAGCTGTGCAGCCAGCCGCTTCCACTGGGCGGTCATTTTTGCTGTCACCAGCCCCACTGCCACTATGAACATCTTTAACAGACACGTTCTTGACATTGAAGCCCACGTGGTCCCCCGGAAGAGCTTCGTGATGCATTTCAGCAGACTTGACTTCAGCTGGAACGCTGGCTGGAGTGAAGGTGACCACCATGCTGGGTTTGAGACCACCAGTCTCCATGTGGCCCACGTGGCCCCAATACCACCAATTCTGTAGACATCCTGGAGGGGCAGATGCAGGGGACTGTCAATTGGACAGGTTGGTGGCAGGATGCAAGCCAGGGCTTCAAGCATTGTGGTTCCACTGGCACTGCCACCTTTATGGGCGACCTGCCCTCCCTTGACCCGAGGCATGTTAGCACTTGGCTCCAGCACACTGTGGCCGCTCCAACCAGAAATTGGCACAAATGCTACCATGTCAGAGTTGTAGCCAGTTCTCTTAATGCAGGTGCTGACTTCTTCAATACTTTCCCTGTATCTCCTCGGGCTGTAGCGCAGCTCAGCGGAATCCATTTTGTTGACACCAACCACCAGTTGTGTCACACCCGGCGTGTGGCCAGGAGGGCATGCTCGCGGGTCTGCCCACCCTTAGAGAACCTGCTTCAGATTCGCCAGCCCCAGCGGCAAAAATCAGGTCAGCACAGTCGGCCCGAGATGTGCCTGGAATCATGTTTTTGATGACGTCTCTGTGTCCTGGGGCATCAGTGATGGTCACATACTTGCCACAGGGAGATGTCAACGGTGACGGCACGCTCACGGTCAGCTTCCAGTTTATCCGAGGCCCAGGCACACGTGAAGGAGCCCTTCCCCGTCTCAGCAGCCTCCTTCTCACATTTTCCGATGGTTCTTCTGTTGATCCCACCACACTTGTAGATCAGATGGCCAGCAGTGCGGGCTTGCCGTGTCCCATGATGACGATGTTGCTGCGAGTCTTTTCCTCTCCCATTTTACCTTTGATTTAGTGTTTTTCTCAACACCTGTGTTCTGGTGGCAAACCTGTTGCCTCCAAACACTTATATTAGAACATCAAAAAGTCCAGATGCCCAAATAAACATGAATGAAATAAAGTTAATCAGTGACTAAAGAAAAACCTTTTGAAAAGAGAGTCAAATTTATGAGTCAAAATAGCTGCCACAATGACCACACCGGGCAGAATGCCTTGGTAGCAGGGGTTAGGTTATGGGGAGTCTTATTTATATCTGCTTGGAGTATTTCTTTGTATTTTAAACATATAAATTCCTGAAAAACTGTCCATCGAATAAAAGCCCTATTTCCTTATTGATTTTATGATAACTGGACTTCCTTATAAAAAGTAAATACAATTCTAGATTACTTTTTAAAATTTGTAAAAAAATTAGAAAAGTACTAGAAGAAAACACAGAACATTAAAGAAAAATATTAGCTTATGCCAAGATTATGAATATTTTTCCAAGTGTGGTACAAATTCATAAGCCACCTGGACACCTTGCCTAGGGTACACAATAATACTATTAAGAGGACCACAAAAACGCTTAATTTCTTTTAAAATCAGAAGAAAAAATATGAATGTAGTCCAACTGGATTATATTTACCTTTATATCAGTGAGATCGCAAAATATAATTTTTATATTTTTAATGTTTCTCCATTTTGCCCAAGAAGGCACAAGTGCCTGTGGCCCATTAAAGCCATGTGGTAGAAAAATTCAGAGTTAGAAAAGTAAACTCTTCTTACCTGAATATTTAGGGAAATACTGATGACCAAGTTTCCTAACACGGCCAGCAAAACTCCAAAAAGGTGAAACTGAAAAAGAAAATGTTTTCTTTAAATGGTAACTAAATAGCACTTGTCAGATATTTCCTGGAAAAACCCCACAAAGAACACTACGACCCAAACAACGACAAAATTTAGGTTGATACATTCATTCGTTCGTTCAGCAAAAATTTACTTAGCATGCATTTGTGAGGGTTGTTTGGAACATGAATAGTGATTTTATTGGGATTAGTGGCCCGTGTTTACTTTCTCAGGCTCCAAGTGAATGCCCCGTGGTCCTTTTATATTGTCATGTGTATCATCAGGCTCTGTACATAGATGGCAATTGTCTGAGGAAAGAGAACCATGTCTTAGGCTTCTATTGGGTCTTTGACATCATCAACTGTACAAGGAGTCCAAAAAATACTTGCTTGGAAACATGTATAATCATTTAAAATAAGAGCTATATGGGTTAAAAAATGAGTTTTTACACATTGCCCAAGATGTTTACTATGATCGTGTATATTATCTGATGACTTCAAAAGATGCATTAGCAGCTCCTATCTAAACACAGAAGTATAATATCCTCTAGCGTTATATAAATTAGCAATGATTTAAGGGATCTTTCCCCTCTTCTACATAACTTAACTCCTAGCTAGCTTCAAATTCCAAGGAGTTATTTGAATTTCAAATGAACATTACAACCATAAGGAACCCCTCTCAGAACGCAAAATGTCTTTGAAGTTGTAGAACTTTATTATATGTGCTGAAGTGAAATTTAGTATATTTTAAAAATGAAGCAACAAAGTTGAAAACCCATTTAACAGTTGATGCATAATAGCCATAGCCTTTAATCAGTTAAGAATTTTCTTTTTCTAATAAAGGCAGTTGGCAATAATTTCGATCACTGTCCCTCACAGGGAACAATCGTATCATAATACAATGTGCTATTTCCATGCTTTTGATTTCCAATGAGATGCATTTGGCAGCAATCAGGCAAATAAATGTTCAGATGAAGTCTGGGATTGAATGAATAATTATGAAAATCTTCCATAATTATAAAAATAAATAGGCAAATAGAAATAACTTCAAAATTCTTTAAATCTTTCACTGAGTGGTTTAAATGCCACCAGGGCAAGTGTTTAGCAATCTGTTTTTGTGAAGAAAGGAAAAGAAACTCTTGCTATTTCGATGGTGCCCCTCAAACTGCAACAGTTACGGCCACAGTGCCTTTGAAGCGTTAAGATGGAAAAGGCACTACACTGGGGGGGACGAGAGGAAGAATGTGGCCAAGTGACAGCAGCAGGCTGCACCCGACAGCATGGAACCTCTACGGAGACTCCAGCAAGGGATGCCCTGAATGTGCACGAAGCCATTTATTCCAAGTACGAGGTAGTTACAGTAAGATATTTTGAGACAGCGGCCACAATCGCGTAACTTTGAATACGGTATCTTGTCACAGTCGTTCTAGTTTGTTAATGTTGTGCCTCGTTTATATAGTAAACTTGATCACAGGCATGCATGTGAAGGAAAAAACATAGTATAACAGGATGAGGAGCTACCTGTGGTTCGAGGCGTCCAGTGGGGGTCTTGGACGGATCCCCACAGGATAAAGGGAGACTGCTGGACGCTGGATCTGCTCACTGTGCTTTGGACGGAGCAGGGAGCTCAATAACTATTTTAGAAACACTATCCTTTTATACTGGAAACTTGTGGCTCAAACATAAAGAAAATGTCTTTGCAGAACTCTATGACATCTGTACTTTTATAGGCAGACTCCTGAGTGACGCAAAAGGGGTGCGGGCCTCACCTCCCTGGCTCCCCAATACATTGTCACCGGTACTGCTTTTCCTCTCCTGCTGTCTACTTGCTTTGAGAGTTCCTCCGTTAAAGCACTCAGACCTTCGCCTTAGACAACACCGATTCCAGGAGGCCACTGTTACATATTCATCTCTTACATGAAAGTGTTTCGGGGGAGTTGGCCTTTTCCTACGAGGAAGGTTAATTGACCAGATCCGATGGTTATCGCTTGGAAAGACACGGAGAGCTGGGCTATCAGTGAGCAGACACTGTCCAAATATTTAAGTTGTGATAAAACTGATTAAACCCTGGCTTCCCAGTAACCAGGGCTAATTCTGAGTGTGGGAGTCCTAAAGTTTTATCTCACATTTTGTTTTTCTTCAGCCACCCCCATGTTCACCCTTCTATTTTCAGTTAGTGTCAAAAAAGAAAAAAGAAAAATTAAATTAATTTTACTTTTACTGGCCTGGACAGCGCTAGAGGCATTCCACAAACTGTTTGCTCAATGAATGTCAATTTTTACTTTTGCTTAAAAACAAATGCAATTACTGGAAGGGTAAAATGTAACCGTCTTATCTGATGGCCTAAATTGGCAGGAGAGTGGGAAACGTTGCTGCGGTCTTACCTCAAACTGGCTATAGTTGAAATGTTAGCTGAGCAATAATCTGTATAAATATGCTGTCAAAGGCGAGGCGAGCTCTGCAAACACAGGCCTCACGCTTACGCCACGTGATAATCTGCCCTTGGGGCGGGAGCGCCGAGGGAGGCCTGCACCCAGGAAACGCCAAAGGAAGACAGGGAGGGCGGTTTCCACGCAGGAAACGATGCTTTCTCCTGTTCGGGGGGCGCCCTGAAGCGCCCACGTACCGAACACTCTCACCTCGTTACCAAAAGAGAAAAAGCTAGAACTCACCCGCACACCTTCGCCCTCGCCCAGCTCGGGACGGACGCGAGCGCGAGCGGGACGCGGACCCGGGAGCTCGCCCCANGGTGACACTTAGAGGCCCCCCCGTTCCGTACATTCTGCGGGTGACACTTAGAGGCCCCCCCGTTCCGTACATTCTGCGGGTGACACTTAGAGGCCCCCCCGTTCCGTACATTCTGCGGGTGACACTTAGAGGCCCCCCCGTTCCGTACATTCTGCGGGTGACACTTAGAGGCCCCCCCGTTCCGTACATTCTGCGGGTGACACTTAGAGGCCCCCCCGTTCCGTACATTCTGCGGGTGACACTTAGAGGCCCCCCCGTTCCGTACATTCTGCGGGTGACACTTAGAGGCCCCCCCGTTCCGTACATTCTGCGGGTGACACTTAGAGGCCCCCCCGTTCCGTACATTCTGCGGGTGACACTTAGAGGCCCCCCCGTTCCGTACATTCTGCGGGTGACACTTAGAGGCCCCCCCGTTCCGTACATTCTGCGGGTGACACTTAGAGGCCCCCCCGTTCCGTACATTCTGCGGGTGACACTTAGAGGCCCCCCCGTTCCGTACATTCTGCGGGTGACACTTAGAGGCCCCCCCGTTCCGTACATTCTGCGGGTGACACTTAGAGGCCCCCCCGTTCCGTACATTCTGCGGGTGACACTTAGAGGCCCCCCCGTTCCGTACATTCTGCGGGTGACACTTAGAGGCCCCCCCGTTCCGTACATTCTGCGGGTGACACTTAGAGGCCCCCCCGTTCCGTACATTCTGCGGGTGACACTTAGAGGCCCCCCCGTTCCGTACATTCTGCGGGTGACACTTAGAGGCCCCCCCGTTCCGTACATTCTGCGGGTGACACTTAGAGGCCCCCCCGTTCCGTACATTCTGCGGGTGACACTTAGAGGCCCCCCCGTTCCGTACATTCTGCGGGTGACACTTAGAGGCCCCCCCGTTCCGTACATTCTGCGGGTGACACTTAGAGGCCCCCCCGTTCCGTACATTCTGCGGGTGACACTTAGAGGCCCCCCCGTTCCGTACATTCTGCGGGTGACACTTAGAGGCCCCCCCGTTCCGTACATTCTGCGGGTGACACTTAGAGGCCCCCCCGTTCCGTACATTCTGCGGGTGACACTTAGAGGCCCCCCCGTTCCGTACATTCTGCGGGTGACACTTAGAGGCCCCCCCGTTCCGTACATTCTGCGGGTGACACTTAGAGGCCCCCCCGTTCCGTACATTCTGCGGGTGACACTTAGAGGCCCCCCCGTTCCGTACATTCTGCGGGTGACACTTAGAGCCCCCCCCGTTCCGTACATTCTGCGGGTGACACTTAGAGCCCCCCCCGAAAGCAGGGTGAGGCGCTGCCTCTGTCGTCATCCAGGGGCTCTCGTGACGTTTCTGAAAACCCCTGCCCATCCCAGGCAGCGACCTGCGAAGCCCCCTTTGCGCACAGAAGGGCTCTGCGCGCTGGTTTACGCGTCAACGCCCCGCGTTAGACCAACACCCGGCGACTGCGCGGCTGTGCATGGAAAGGGCCCGGGCTGGTCGCGGGCGGGGC